AGATCGTATTCCACGGGTTTTGATACCCTAGGTAACTTCTCACTTCGTTGTTATCTAAGACCGGTTTAGATTTTTGTGTTGGAGGTTGATTGGGAAATACTGGTGGAAGAAGCAAAGATAAAAGCAAGTTACTTCGGGGTACCACGTTCGCCCTAAACTAGCTGGGTTCATCATGTAATGGCTAACTATGTTGGATTTATAGGATAGGATGCAAATTTTTCTAATATGGAGATTTCAATGATTATTCTCCCTCCACCTAACACACCACACAAAGACCCAATGTCACCTCAGGCTAAGTTTATGTGCTAGGGTTGGTCCTATAGTTCATCTGAATAAGTTTAACCTATCAAGCATACTAGACATGTGCTTCGATCAGAATGTGTGCGACTTCACTAGCATTTTTTTAGGAAGACATTCTTATATTAGGATTACGGTCGCCACGTCCACCAAGGAACCCTAAGATCATTCATCTATCCTTAATCTGACAGTTGGCGCTACCTTGTCTAACCCTAAAACTTCCACCTAGTGTTAAGTCAGTTGTAGGCTAGTAGTGAAGAGTTGACTGATTTACCCAAGCATAATCAAGCATATATTCACTAAAACAAACATATCCATTAATAAACCCTCACACAATTACATCTACGTTCAAAACCTAAATCTAGGGTTTGGGTGGTTTAACCCGTAGTATCTTAGACAACTACCCCATAAAGGGAAGAAGAAGACATATGGAAGAAAATAGAAGAAGCCTTGAAATGGGAGAGCTCCCTTCCTTCTTCTCCTCCTCCTCTTCTCCTTCCTTCGGTTTTTATCTCTAAGTGTGGGGGAATTGGATAACGCCATAATTAGACATGTTTATTCCCTTAATTAATGATTGTATGACTTTCTTTTCTTGGATCTAAGGCCAATTTTATGTTAGGTTGTTTTCTTTTGGGTTAATACCCTCGTTTGGCACAAAGTATAGCGTTAGTGACATTTCTGGCTCAAGTTTTCAAATAAGACATCTCTGGCCCACTTTTCAAATTATTGGACGAATTTGGCCTATGTGACGGGTTGACTGTCAGATTTGACGGTCAACAATATTATCCGTTGCTGACTCAGCATTGGACTCTGACGTGGCTTGTCCACGTCATTTATTTTTAAAAAAATAAACAAAAATAAACAAAACTAAAAGGGAAAGGTGGAGACCAGCCCCCTTCTTCCTCCTGTGAAACCAACCCCCTCTTATCCCTTCCCCGAACAACTCCGCCCGATCCCTTGAACTGCCATACCCCCAATCAATTAACCACAACGCAGATTTGTTATTTCATCGAGCTGGAAATCGACTCGTTCGCCGGGAGCGGGGCGGAAACCTCGTCGGCGGCGAGGGACGACGAAGACGAGCTGATTCTGGAAGCAATCGCCAGGCTTCCGTCGGAGAAGCGGGACAGGTACGCGGTGCTGAGGAGGACCGAGACCATCGATTTGCATAAATTGAAAAAGACGGACAGAGAGCTGCTGGTGAAGAAGGCTCTGGCGACCAATTCGCAGGACAATTTCAAGCTGCTTTCGGCGATCAAGAGCCGGCTGGATCGGGTCGGGATCGAGGTGACGACGGTGGAGGTGAAAAGGTGGAGCGGCCGATGGATGCGGAGGGAAAGGTTTGAATGGGTTTGTGGACCACCTCACGGATTGGATCCGGTCCGGGAAGATGATTGATTGATGGGCGGCGGAGTTGTTCGGGGAAGGGGATACGAGGGGGTTGGGTTCACAGGAGGAAGAAGGGGGAATGAAAGAGATGGGTAGTGTGTGGTGGACCTGGTCTCCACCTTTCCCTTTTAGGTTTGTTTTTTTTATTATTTTTTTTTAACTTACTGACTTGAAATGTTCATAAAAAGGGAAATAAAAGTAAATGACGTGGACAAGCCACGTCAGAGTCCAATGCTGAGTCAGCAACGGAGAACATTGTTGACCGTCAAATCTGACAGTCAACCCGTCCCATAGGCCAAATTCGTCCGATAATTTAAAAAGTGGGCCAGAGATGTCTTATTTGAAAACTTGAGCCAGAAATGTCACTAACGCTATACTTCGTGCCAAACGAGGGTATTAACCCTTTTCTTTTTTCATATTTCAGATCCTAGTATGTAAATATGGATTGGGAACAAGTTTCAGGACATTAGGAGTTGAACGAAGTTTGACCACTGAAAACAGGGCAGCGGAGGAGCCGAAAATCCACCCACAACACACCCTCTGTGGTGGAAAACACAGCCTTATACCAGAGGCCAGAGTTTTCCTTTACACTTCCCATAATTGACATTTAGAACCCAGTCACTTCTAATTAAAAACGGCCAGGTTTTCGAGGTCAGAGCTATGTTTTTATCCATGTGCGAGTTTTATTAGAGAGGAGCCCATATTTTGAAGAGGATGCGACTTTGAACGCAAAAATGTAGTTCTAGAGAGAGAGAAAGTCACGAAGAAAAAGACCTAGGAGCCTATTTGAGTTGGGTTTTCACCATTGAAGCTTGAACTTTGCCTCATGAAATGAAAATTGACATCCCAAAGCAGATAATACACATCTTTATGAAGTCCATGAATGAGTTTAAAAAAGAGCACAATTTATGAACACTAGTGTTGTAGATTATTTCATTTATTTTTATATAATATTACCAATATGTATCATTCCAAGTTACGTGATTCAATATGAACTAACGACACTAAAAGGCAAATGATAAAGTCGAGTCAGAATTTGTTAAAAAAAAAGACAGTAGTTGTATGCGCGCATTAGCAAGGAAGGTTAGTACAACAAGAGAGATTTAATTAGTGCACTCACTTACTGTTCTTGGTTTCACCATCTTTAGTGGTACTTCATTCCTTTAAATTTTAATAAATTGATATCACCATTATATAAAAAAATATAAGTTTAATTATATTCGTTGAGCGACTAAAATTGTCCTTCAACTAAATTGCGAGTATATTCGATGTCAATCTTTTGGCATAAAGAAATGACGATAAATGTTATTTTTCTATTGATTTTATTATTGCATTGTTGAGAATATTTTAACGTTTAGAATTTGATAAATATATGGCAAAATACATTCCCATAGCCACAACTTTCACGTTTGTGACAAACATAGCCACAACTATCGAAATACACGAAATAACCACTTCTGTCCATTCCGTTAACGATGTCAGTTAACAGAGTGACTGGACTAACGGAGAATTAAAAAAAATATAAGTTCCTTTGTGCCCACAAATCCACGAGGATTAAAAAAAATATAAAATATAAAAACCATAAAAGGCTAATAATTACAGCGTTGGTTTCTCCCAAATCTTCTTCCCAAAATTTGATTTCTTCTCTGACTCTCCCTGTTCGTCACAGTAGCCATGGAAAATCAACCAGCGAAGAATCGGCGAGAGAACAGCAACCATGAAGAGATGAAGAACAAGCAACCAGTGGCTCTCTTGCTCTTGGGTTCGCCGTCAATTTTCTTCGCTTCCTGAATTTGATTCCACCCATTCAATTGGGTTTTGGAAATCTTCACGCGCATGGTGTTCGCTCCAGCGACTCCGACAGCAACTCTGCCGGCTAAGCTACCACCATGGCGTGCAACGAAGAAACCTGAAGTAGGCACGTGGCAGCGGCAGAGATCAATATCCCTCCGCGGGATCTTCCCTCTGCCCCTGGTGCGATGCCAATTGTCTAGAACTTGAATCCCTGATTGCAATTATAAAAGGAGATGTTATTCATAGAAGAAGACAAAGAAGAAGGAAGGAAGAAAACGACGGGAAGCGGCTATGGGTTGGGGGTGGGTGGGTTGGCTAGTCACCTCTTTTCGCTATGCTTTCATCTTCTGATTGAGGGAGAGGGAGAGACTAGAGAAAGCCTCTCTTTTCAATTGCGGTAGAGGAGGAAGCAAGATTTGCGAAATCTTCCCAGATCTGCGCCGCCGCCTAAATCGGAAGGAGGAGACGACGGGTAGGGAACAGAGTAAATTTACGAAAAAATATTTTATGTTTTTTTATATTTTCAAAATTAATTATTTTATTATTCGAAATGACGTGGCACTGAAATGATGACTGGTTGCTGACGTGTGCGATGATGTGGCATCCTAGTCCGCACAATGTTAATCTAACTGACGTAGTTTCTAACACTGTTAAAGTTTCTAACGGAAATGGCTAGATTTATCACATTACCATTCGATTTTCGGCTATTTCGTGTATTTCAATAGTTGTGGCTATATTTGTCACAATCGTGAAAGTTGTGGCTATGGAAGTGTATTTTGGCTTAATGTTTTTTTTTTTTTTTGATGAATGGACAGGATTTTTATTCATCAAATACGATCAACAAACAAGTTTACAACCTGACAACAACAAGTTAACTACCAACCAACCAAAAGCGAACTACACTACAATCTACCACTCAACAAAGCCTTTTAGTTGCTAATTTTATACCACAAAACAGAACTTGAAGCAGATTCTGAAATTCTGGGATCACCAGCTTCCTTTGCTTCCATCACCTGCTGCATCTTCCTTGTGACTTCGATAACCAATGACTACATCATTATAATGTTATCAATGAAAGGTTATCATGATTTCAAAATTGGAAATGAATTTTGATGTCACCCCGATATCATACAAAATTAATCCATTAAAATAACTTAATTATAGTAGGATACACTTCACAAATACATTATATTCAAATGACATTCCGATGAAGACAAAAAAATAAAAATAATAATAAAACAAGAAAAAGAAAAGTTTGAAAACGCGGATTGCTTTAGCCTTCCATTTGCCTTCCATTTGTTGGAAGCTTTCGATCTTCAAACCTAAACCACACTACATCACTTGAAATACAAAATGTCAACGGCAAAATAGAGAGAAGACGGGGGTTGGATGGTCTTGTAAAAAGCAAGGATCAGGTATATTATATTTCGGCATAATGACGGGTCTCCTATATATATACACACACACACACAATGTAATGAACAAGTTTCTCAATAGTCTTCCTTCCAATTGTGAAAGCAATGAGTCCTCTAACTTCTCTGCTTCTCGTCCCGGCCACCGCCTACATCGTTTATGCCGTCGTCAAATTCCTCCACAAAGTGGTATGGCAACCTCTCCAGACACAGCGGTTCCTCCACTCGCAGGGGCTCAAAGGCCCTCCTTACACTTTCCTCTTAGGCAACGCCAAACAACTTATCGAGCTCAGAGAGGAAGCGTTGACCAAACCTATGCCCACTCTTTCCCACGACATAGCTCACAGGGTCACCCCTCACATCTCCCTATGGACCAAGCAATACGGTAAGAGGCTTCAAATTTCAATTCAAGGTGCTTTTGTGGGTTTATAACACTTCTCGTGTTGTTACTAAAGGGATTTTTAATTATGTTTTGCCCGTAATAGGGAAGAATTTTGTGTTTTGGATTGGACCGCGACCTCAAATGGTTCTCGGCGAGCCAGATTTGATCAAAGAGGTTTTAAGTAACAAAGACCGCATTTTCTCTAAATCTGACCTGTTGTCTCCTTACGTTCGAAAGATTTTTGGCCAAGGAATTGTGAATAGCGAAGGTGAAAAGTGGGTTAAGGTTAGAAGAATGGCGGATTTCGCTTTACATGGCGACAACCTCAAAGTAAGCTACAAATCTCAAACTTTTCTTTAAATTCATTCTTTTATCTTCGTTTGAGTTGATGTTTATAACGAGGGAAAATAATAATGTTTCGAATGCTATTGGGGATCTATTTGATAACAGGTGTACATGAATCAAATTCATTCACAATTTTACGAGACTAGATCTCTGCCACGTTTAATCTATCTATACAACCTATATCTATATCTATATACGGTGACTTCTATCGTACACTAGACATATATTGGCCTAACAGTAATGGTTATTTCTTTAAAAAGCTTATCTTATTCATTCCGAATAACATATAGTGATATCTCCTATTATTAAGTGTCCAAAAAAGCTTCTTCTCCCTATTATATATACACTAGGTAGACTCTGTGTCGCGCTTCGTTGCGGCTTCTCATAAGATTAGATATATTGTTTGCTAACTCGTATTTGATTTGTGATCACGTTTAGCAAAGATCCAATAAAAAACTCCTAACGAAATCTAATCGGTAAGTGATTTTAGTCGTATGAAATGATTTAATCATGGTTGAGCTATAATTTTAGCACAAAATGTCCTAATGTTGACTTTTCCGGTACGACTTTCAATATGATTTTACAAGTTTTGATTTTTTGTGAACATACATCGATGGTCGGATTGGATCAACGTGTCAAGCCTGATTCAACCACGATTGAACTACGATTTTAGAACAAAATACCATAATGATAACTTTTTTGGCACAACATTCAGTATGGTTTTACAATTTCTGTTTTTTTTTGTCAACATAAATCGAGACTCGGGTTGGAGCAATTGGTCAAGCCTTATTTTAACCACGCACGGCTTAACTACAAATTTAGCACAAATAAATCTACTGCTAACTTTTTTGGTACGACCTTAGGTATGGTTTTACAATTTTTGATTTTTTTAAACATAGATCGAGGCTCGGGTTGGAGCAACATGTCAAGCTTGATTTAACCACCGTTGAACTACCATTTTAGCACAAAATACTCTAATACTAACTTTTTTGTTGTGACTTTTGGTATGGTTTTACAACTTTTACTATATTTGAACATAATCGAGGCTCAGGTTCGAGCAACGTGTCAAGCCTGATTTAGCCACGATACCGTACTGCTATAAAAACACCTAAATAATCTAAATCGATAGGTGATATAATAGAAATTTTTCCAATGGAATTTAAATCGTCAGATGATTTTAGCTGTATGTAATGATTTAACCACAGTTGAATTACCATTGTACCGTACTGGCGGTCAAATAGAAAAACTCATAACAGAATCTAAATCGGTAGGTAATTTTAGTTGTATAAAATTATTTAACCACGGCTGAACTATGATTTTAGCACAAAATGACCTAATGCTAACATTTCCGGTACGACCTTCGGTGTGGTTCTACAATTTTTGGTTTTTTCTTAACATGCCTCGAGGCTCGGGTTTGAGCAACGTGTCCAAGCCTGATTCAACTGCGCTTTTAGTCCAAACTACCCTAATAATAAATTTACCGATAATGACTTTCGGTATGATTTTACATCTTTTTTTTTCTCTAAACATGCATCGAGGCTTATGTTCGATCTAATTTAACTATGATTGAATTACTATTTTAGCATAAAACACCCTAATATTAACGTTATCGGTACGACCTTCGGTATGATTTTATAATTTTTGGTTATTTTATTCTGAATATAAATCGAGGCTCTCGTTGGAACAACGTGTCAAGCTTGATTTTAGTACAAAAGACTCTAATGCTAACTTTTTCGGTACGAACTTTAGGTTATTGTTTTACAATTTTTGGTTTTTTTTAACATAAATCGAGGCTCGGTTTGGAGCAACATGTCAAGCCTTATTTAACCACTGTTGAATTATGATTTTAGCACAAAATACACTAATACTAACTTTTCCGGTATGACCTTCGATATGATTTTATAATTTTTTATTTTTGTTAACATAAACCGATATTCGTGTTGGAGTAACGAACAACATTTTCCCACTTTTTGTTGTGCGAGTAAGAGGAGAAAATTACAGCAACTCATTTTAATAAAACTCTAAAACTCTCATCATGGATTGCCAAAACCAAAAATAAGAAATGATAATTAACAATAGACCAATCAAAGAATGATTGTGAGAAAAACAAAAACAACCAACCTGTCACATTAATATAACTCTTATGCAACAGTACCTACCTTCTAACTTTTATTATATTCATGGATATTCTAGCTTAAATACTCAAATGAAGATGAGTCACATGTGCAATAATTTATAATGTATCCTAACTTCACGTTAATAATATTTTCTCTGGATCATGTTGATTAATCAGCAAACTCTATTGAGGTCCTAAGTCGTATGCTAAGAATTTTCTTTCAGACTTGGAGTTATCATCGATGAATATAAGTCAAAGTTTTCAAAATGACTTAAGTATGATTGTTGACGAACTTTGACTTCATACTTTAGGATGAGACACAAGATACATAAAAAAATAACAAGTGTGAAAGTTAGAGAAATCTTTGTTGACGATGTACAATAAGCATCATGTTTCTCACCTGGTCATGGTCAAAATGGGTCAAACGACGAGTCGACCCATGAGTGAACAACCTTGCTTCAAAGAGTTCGATTGTACTTGCATTATGATTCTTGAAATTTAACTTATCTTAATTTAGCATATTCTTTTGTGGCCCATAAATCTATTAACAACTTAGTAAGGATTGGCTGCTGAGAAATAATTAACATGTGTTGTTATTTAAACCATTGTACTGTAATTTTAACATTCAGTACTTACATCTTAAATGTCAGGTTCAATGAATTTTTCTTTAATAAATAAAAATCTACAGAGAGCTAATACAATTAAATTAATTTTGTTATAAACAAATAAAAGTACAAAATTTTGAAACAATAGAAGAAACAAGCCGAGTCCGATTAACAATTCAATGTATAATAAATATAACAACATAATCCATAAAAAAAAATTTAGAAACAAAAGGTAATGACAACAACACTAATATGAGGTTCTAACAAGTGATTCCAAAAATAAACTATGCATCATGTTATAAACATAAGTTATATGCTAATAGTAAACATCTTTATATCGCGAGTTCAAACACAACAATAAAATAACACAAAAGAATAGCAAAATGTACTACTTCATAAATAAAATTCAATTAGAAAAAGACAAAAAACTAGTAATTAAAGTTTATAATTGAGAGGAACGGAAGTTTAGCTTCTTTCCAATGTTGTTAAAACCGAACCGGACATCAATACGGATTAAAGAGAGGTTCACGGTTTATCGGCTAGCCGGGGATTAATCGATAAAAACCGTAAAGAAAATCGGTGACTTAATAAAATATAATAGATGATAATATAACATTACAATATAAACAATTTAATATAATTTTTGCAAAACATAATAATCATAATCATAAAATTATTTAAAATATAATGATGCCTACCAAACCCTACCGCTAAACCCAATTGGCGTTCCTCCCAAATCTCAATTCCTAGTCTCTCTCATTCTTTCTTTCTAACTAGAATTTCAATCCCATCCCACCACGTTTCCTTTCTCACTCCCACCACGTCTCCTCTCTTCTTCTCTGTGACTCTTTGCCTTCCCCTGCCTCCCTCAAACTCATTCAACCACTCTCTGTAAACTCTCACAATCCAATTTTATTCTCCATTCTTTCCCGTCCCATAATCCAAATCTCTATTCTTTCTGCTGTAAGTCTAGATAGTCCAAAGCTCCATTCTTTCTACTCAAAGGGTCCTGATATTTCTTCGAATAAAAGATGATTGAAGACAGATCTATAGGTTGACAAATACTAATGGTAGCAGAGAACCACGCTTTCTGTTTTCATTTTTTGTTTTTTCCCCCTTGCCTCTAAAACCCGCCGGTTCGGGTCGAGTTGGTTGGGCGGTTACCCGCAGCAACCATCCCTAGAGCATCTACATCAATGCAATTGCAAAAAAAATTGCATTTGTGATTTTTATTTTCAACTCAATTTTTTTGCAATCCACATCATATTCATTTCATTCACCTACATCAATGCAATTAACTTGCAATTGCAAATATAATTAAATATTATATTTAAATTATAGAAAATTAAGTAAAAGAGAAAAGAAAACAATATAAAATAAAAAGGCCCCATTTTTTTAGGCTTTTTTGACTTGCATATGCAATTGCATTTGTTGCAAGTTTGCATATATGCAATTGGTAGCCACATCAATACAATTGATTTTGCAATTGCAAACACTTATGCCATGTTATTTTGCAATTCAGAATGCAATACCAATGTGGATGCTCTAATAAGTTTTTTCTAAAAATCATTGTAATGGAAAGCTGGAAACACTCAACCAATGAGGAGTTGACCAATTGAAAATGATTGCTTCACATATAATATATAGGATTGACACCCTAGTTTGGCCAGAAGTATAACTTTATTGACAGTTCTGGCCCCTATTTTTCAAATTAGATATTTATGGCCTACTTTCGAAATTATTGGATAAATTTGGCATGTGGGACGGGTTGACTGTCAAAATTGGTAGACAACTATTTTCTTCGTCGTTGACTGAGTATTCCATGATGACTGGACTTGTCCACTTTCTTTACTATTTTTTTTAAAAATTAAACAAAACAAAGAAGGGAAGGGGAGACATGAGGACAAACCACAAACTTTCCCTTTCCCATCTCCATCGAATTTCCTCCTCCTTCGAAACCCCACCCGTTCCCCAGCTCCTCTAAAACCAAATCCGACCCAAATGGAGTACATGGCCGTCGATGCTTCTCTTCGCCGGCACGATCCTTGACCTTCCTTCCTTATACCCTTGTTTTCCTTTCATCATCCCCTCCACACCCAGCCCGATCGAGACACCTCTCGATGGGTCTATGTGTAGAACTCGAATCCGCTGAAGTTACATTTCCACTTCTTCCCCCCTTTTAGCAGATGACATGGTTGCTTTCTCTTTTGTTGGGTATGGTCGGAAGTGGGTTGGCGACGAAGAGGCTTCGCCGTGATAAATGGAATGTGACGAGGGAAGGCGACGAAGAGGGTTGGTGACGAAGATGGAAGGAGTCGAGGGCGGTGTCTCTTGTAAAGGATAGCGGCGACGGTTGCGTGCTTAAATCCGATTTAGGTCGGATTTTGTTTCAGAGGACGTCGGGGGACGTGAATATGTGGGGTTTCGCAGGAGGAGGAAAGTTGATGGAAAAGGGAAAGTCTGTGGTGGTCCTCGTGTCTCCCCTTCCCTTCTTGTTTTTTTTTAATTTTTTTATTTAAAAACTTAGTAAAACATGTGCACAAGCCGAGCCAACGTTGAATGCTGAGTTAGCAACGGAGAAAATGATTGACTGTCAATTAGATCTATACAGTCTACCGGTCCCACAAGCCAAATTTCTTCAATAATTTTAAAAGTGGATCATAAATGTCTTATTTGAAAAATGGGGCTAGAACTATATTAATGCTATACTTTTGTCAAACTAGCTAGGGTATTAACCCTAATATATACAGTGGTTATGAGTTAAACTTTATTTCAGACCTTTTATCATTGTATTTTGATATGTATCATTATCATGGGCCTATATATATGGGTTAGTTGAATTTAACAACATAAATTTATATTGGTATTTGGTGCGGGGCATATATATTGTTTCACATAAAAAAAGCAAAATTAATTAGTTATAAATAAACATATCGAAAGTGACATTTGATTCTTTGCAGAGTATGGTACCGGACATGATTGCTAGTGCAGAGATGATGCTAGAGAGATGGATGATGAACGACGGGAAAGAGATCGAAGTTCATGAAGAATTCAGGATTCTGTCGTCGGAAGTGATTTCCAGGACAGCTTTTGGGAGTAGCTACAAGGAAGGACAACATATATTTGGCATGCTCAACGAATTGATGATCATTTCCGATAGAAATACATTCAAAATGAGTCTTCCAATAATAAGGTATGTCATCTCTGTCATCTCTGTCATCTCTGGGTTCAACTGGTTGCATACTGTGTTTACACTTGTTTTTTTCACTTCAATATATTTCGTTTAATCAGAAATGTCGGCTATTATTATCTTAGATTATTTTAGATTAGATGAATCTTTTGGAAAATCTTGAATGGTTTTTGTACGAATTCATTGCTTCATTGTTAATCATTGCTTTATTGTTAATCACATCATACGTTATGATTGACATTATTTTAACATGAATCGTTTGTTGAAAATGATGGTTATGAGGCGAGTGCATTGAATGCACCCAAAAAAGTGAGTGCACCAAATACGCCATCATATATATATATATATATATATCATGAATTAATTGGAATTTGGGGCATGATATTATACCCTAACCTCTAATGGGTGAACACCAGACCCAAATTTTCTAATCCAAACCGCAAAAATTCATTTAATCTTAAAATCAAAATCAACGATAATTTCAATGAATGAGAATAGTTGATTTTCATTGCAAAATTAAATGAATCTTATGCTTTGGGTTAGTTAATTGGGAATTGGGGTTCACACATTAAGGGAGTGAGTATAATATCATGACCCAAATTCCAGTCAATTTATTGTCTAAATAATAAAACTCAACGGGCGTATGGTAAATAAGCGTACGCCAGGGCGTACCGCTTGTCTTTGCTATATATGGATATTTATATATATGGGTCTGATTGGTGTACTCCTGGAGTATACTTTGCTCCAGGTATTCCTACTGAGATATCTCTATCTAGACCATAGCTTAGTTTGGCCCTTATGTAGCTTTTGCAGAAGCAGCTTCTGGCTGGAGCTTTTAGATAAGTACTTTTCAAAAAAAGTAGTTTAGTGTTTGGCTGTAAAACTATTAGAACTACTTTTTAATATGAGCAGTTGTGTAAAATGACTATAAAGGACTTATAATATAAAATATGAATAAAAATTCTAAACAATAAAAAGTAGTAAAAATGGATCCTGTTAGATTTCTTTTATATTAAATAATATGATTTTATAATTTATTTTATTTTTAAAATGATATAAATGAAGGAAATTATATTTTCTGAAATAAAATTAAAATATGATAAGGATAATCTTGTATTTTCAAAACAGCTTTTCGCAGAAGCTCCAAATCGGAGTTTCTACTTTTATGTTATACAAAAGCGCTTTTCGGCTTTTCAAAAGCCGAGCTTTTAGAGGTGTTTGGCCCTGCTTCAGCTTTTGAAGCCGAAAGCACTTCTAAAAGTCGGGCCAAACGTAGGCCATGAATTGAATCGATATTGGGGTATGATACTACACCCTAACCTACAAATGAATAAACCCCATACCACATTTTTCTAACCCAAACCTGAAGTTCAATTTAATAAAAAACAATGATTAACTATGTATTCTCTTTGCGATTATCTGAGTCGTTTCAAAAAAAAAAAAAATGCAAGTGGGGGATGCTCTCCCCTTTCTCCTTAGACTGGTTCGATGGATTGTGTATCTCGTCAACACCATGATGGCTTCAATTCTCCTGTGCTGCCTGCGCAATCAACAGCTGGTTAATGAAGGCGAAGTGAAGGTGACAGGAGATCGTAAGATGGTCTTCTCGGTGGAAAACAGACATCGTTCGATGACCATTTCCTATGGCCGGATTTCCATAGAGACTCGGAGACCGACCAATCGAAGAGGAAAACGTAAACTCGAAGTTAACCGAGCTAATGATGATGGTATGACCACCAATGATGCAAAGCGTCGACGGATCGCAAAAGTGATCGTCTGGTCGTTCAAGATCCCTACAATGGATGATTTTGATTTAGAAGAGACAGAGGAGTTGGTATTCAAACAAACCGAAATGGTTGCCAACGATATAATGGCAATCGGGAATACCTCTCTTCCGATATCGATGGAGGATTGTAAACAACCTCCGTCTCATGATGGTGTTAATCGACGGGCGGTGGGGGCTCAGTTTCCGGCGACCGGAAATCCACAGTCAATGACGGGTGGATAGAAATCCCATCTAACCGTCCGAAATTTGGTAGCGAGAGAATCTCACCGGTTTCGTTCTCAGAGATTTTCGGGACGCTCCAATTTTTGAACTTGATCCCGTTATCTTGGCAACAGAACCCTAATCCTAAGGAGCCGTATTGCGTGGAAGATATTGCTGCTCTCGATCTTCACGGCTGGACCCCTGAAACCTATGGGATTACGAAGAATAATAGTTTAGTATTAAACAAATTACCGGCTATTATTATGAAGAATAATAATTTATCTTTATACAAGATATTGGCCGTTGCTTTGAAATCTCCCACTTCTATTGGGACTCCTAAAAACCTAAACCGGCTGGAGAGAGGTAAACTAAGCACGGGTCTGGGCATCCTATTTAACTCGCGTAAGAATGCTTCTTGCTCCCAGATGATTAATCACATCCGGGCAAGGAATACATCACTAAGCGAGCAGGAACCAGATCCGATTGGTGCCTTCCCCAGCTCAGGTACCACTTCCACTTTACTTTTATGTAAACCTCTATCACGTGCATGGTCCGCCTTAATAATGGCTTTCCCCATGCATGATATTGGCCGATCTTTCCAGCAACATCCTTCCATTTATGGGGGTGGGGGAGGGGATTTTTCGATTACTCTTGAAGAGAATTGGAATGCTAATCCCTATGATGACTCTCTTCTTCAGGTTCCCACTATGGCGCACATTGCTTCCGATCAAGTGGTCCAATTTTCCATGGAAGAGATTCAGTATACTATGTATCGAGCTGCCCATTCTCTGCTGGGAAGGGTGTTTACAGAAGCTAGGATCTCGACCACGGAACTTCGAGAGGCGGTGCTCGACCCATGGCTAATCCAGGGTCGCCTGCGGGTGGTGCTCGCAAAGCACTGGCTGGTAGAGTTCATGCTTCCCAGTGAGGAAGCTAAAATGTGGGTGCTAAAGCGATCCCCATGGGTGATCAATGATAAGATCATCCACCTCCGTCAATGGACTCCGGTCATCACCAAACAAATCTATGATGACCTTGCTGTTGTCCCCTTTCGGCTACAACTGTGGGACGTTAAGGAAGACTGTTGTACTCAACAGTTTGAAAGGAAAGTGGTGAATACCACTATTGGGAAGGTGCTGGAGTCCGGGGTATTTTCTTGTCAAGAGACGGGCATCTGGTTTGTGAAATTGAAAGCCCTAATTGATTTCACTAAACCGCTCCGGTCTCAAATCTTCGCGGCCAACGATGATACAGGCAACTTCTAGGTTAGCCTAAAGTACGAGTACCTTCCCAGCTTTTGCTACCAATGTGGTAGGGTGGGTCACTCACTCAGGGCCTGTACTTTCGAGCCTCCAACCAGAAAAGAGAATTTCGGTCCTCACATGTCTACAAAGAAGCTCGGTACTCGAATTTATGATAATGAGGATCAGAAACAAAATTTCCCAGAGGCAAAAACTCTGTCTGGATTAATAAGAACATCCACGAGCAAAAACATGACAGGATAGGGGCTATGCACACGAAGGCTCAAGGTGTGATGCTGGAGGAGGACTACATTGGGGCAGCTCGGCCTATGCATCAAGCTATACGTGTTGCCTTGTCACCACAGAGGGGGCCACGTCACATTAGTCCCCGCGGATTCAAGATCCCTCGATCGCCACAATTCAAACTTGGTAAAAGCACGGGAGCCTCCCTGATGCCAGCTGCTTTCACGGCGGCTCACCAACGTGGCAAGGCCCACTCGCGTCGTGGTGAGCACACAAAAACCAAGGCAAATGTGAAGCCGGTGGCTTTTTCTCGCCAGAGGCTGATGATGGGGGAGGCAAACATGGAGGAGAGTCGAGCTGGGAAGGAGGACATGGATGGACAGGTTGTGGAACCAGTTTCGGGAGTGGTTCCCACGATGGAGACCCGGCGTCGTCGTCTCCTTCTCGATGACTCGAATGATGAAGTCATCATTCCAACGGTTCCTATTCCGGGCGAGAAGGTGGCACCTGCAGGGAAGAAGAAGGGCCGTCGGCTGGTTAAGGTGGGAGCAAGCCTTGCTATGGCTAGTTCAGCTCAACCAATCTAGCCATCGTCCCCAGCTAAGGTGAAAGCGGCCTCCCAAATTCCACTGAAGAAGCGCCGACAAGGAAGAAGGGCTCCCAAAAAAGTAAAGGGAAGGCGAAAGTCCCTCTCAATGATGCCGACCAAGATATTGTTGGGGAGTCTGATGCCAAGGGAGGGAAACAACCCTCGAAGCCGAGAGGGAAAGCGGCATCCTCTAAAGCCTCTTTGAGCAAGGCTATCGGGGAAACTAATTCCCAGGAAGGACAGCGGCCCTTGAAAGCAAAAGGGAAGGCGATCTTGGGGATAGCTGATGCTGACCTTTGGGAATCGTAGACCTCTCAATCTGATGAGGAGGGTCAACAGTTTGAAGTAAAGAAGCGTCCGACCCTGGATGATCCGGTTCAACAGGTTCAAATGGGGAAAGTGCGACAAGTAGTGGCTGCATTTGAGGCCAATATGGTTCTCAATGACAATAAAGAACCTCTGGTCACTGGTGACGGGGAAATGATAATGAAGCTGAACGAGTATGGATCCAATTTGGAGGATGGGACCAGGAAACGTGCACTGGAAGAGGTGGAAGGGGAGATTGGGGAGTTACCCAACCCCAAAAAACAATTTGTAGAAGAAGAGCAGGGTACTGTTATGGTGGAGGAAGCCAACCAAGAGTGGCCCCAAGGATATAAATGAGGATTTTGTGCTGGAATGTGAGAGGAATTGGACCATCCCTCACATTCCAGACAGCAGTAGGTTTAGTTCGTTCAAATAAATCGGACCTTGTTTTCTTTTCTGAAACAAGATCGTGCCGGAGAGTAGTTTCCAGTCGTATGCGGGGTTTAGGTTTTGATTCGAGTCAATGCTTCTTTGTTGATGCTATTGATGGTTCTGGTGGTCTTGTAGTAGCTTGGTCCCCTGAAGTTGAGGCTTCAGTGTTTTTTCATTCTAGTTTTTGCATTTGTACTCGGATTAATGAGAATGGTTTTTCGTACGTGGCGGTTTGCGTTTATATGAGTTGCAATATTGCGAGACGGGCTATTCAATTGACCCAGTTGCGCTAGCTTTGTGAGGGTCTGGGTGAAACCTTCGTGATTATAGGCGATTTTAATGCAACTTTGTGCGAAAATGAAAAAAATGGAGGGAATCCTTGGAATGCCTCCCATTCGTTGAACTTCCGGAACTTTATCCAAATGTTAGGGTTGCACGATCATGGGTTCCAAGGAGACCCTTTCACCTAGACTAATAAACGTATGGGTTTGGCCTGTATTCGTGCAAGGCTTGATAGGGCTCTCTGTTCTTAGAGCTGGATAGATCGTTATCCGGAAACTCTAGTTAAGCAATTCACGGATCAGGGCTCTGATCATAGAGCTCTGCTTCTCTCGGACAAGCCCAATGCGCGGAGTTGTCGCCCTCTTTTTCGGTTCGATGCTCGTTGGGCAAATAACCCCGAAGTCAAGGCCATGGTGGAGTATATTTGGCACGAAAACGTCCCGGGTACCCCTATGTTCCAATTATGGGAAAAGCTTAAGAAACTCCGCCATTTGCTGTATGATTGGAGTAGAGCTGGTACCACTAACTCTCTGCGAAATATTCATACTTTGCAAGGTGAGATAGATCGGCTAAAAAACTTGCACCCTATTGATTGGCATGAGGTGACCCGTTTGGAAACTGAATTGAGTAGGCAATGGGAGGCTGAGAAAGTTTATTGGAAACAAAAATCCCGTGTTACTTGGTTGAAGAAGGGGGATAAAAATTCGGCCTATTTCCATACGGTCACGAGAGCTCGCCATAAGCGAAATTTTGTGAATGGGCTTCTTAATGAGGATGGGGAATGGATCACGGAGGAGCGCGGAAAGGCAGATATTGCTACAAATTTTTATCGTTCCCTATTCACATCAGAAAATCAGATTGGGAATATGCACGAAAGAGTGGCCGCTCTCCCCATAGAACCCTGTGTTACCCCAGAAATGAATGCGAACCTAACGGCCGAAGTACTCCCTAAAGAGATATGGGATACTGTTTTCTCTATGGGATCGAAGCAGGCGCCAGGTTCGGACGGGTTTACGGGGAAGTTCTTCAAAGATTTTTGGGGTATAGTTGGGGACTCAGTGATTCGAGCGATGAGCTCGTTTTTTGAAACTAGTAGGATGCTCCGAAGCTTCAATCATACTTGGTTGACTTTGATTCCGAAGGTGGATCAAGTTGATTCAATGCGTCATTTGCGTCCTATCAGCCTCTGCCAATTTGTGTATAAGGTGATTACTAAAATCATGGCAGGGAGGCTCGCTGATATATTGCCCCAGATTGTATCTGATGGCCAGAATGCTTTTATTCGAGAGAGGCAAATTGTTGATAACATTCTCTTAGGGCATGAGTTAATGCATTACCTGAAAATCAAAACCCGTGGGAAGAAGGGATATATGGCTCTGAATGTTGACATGGAAAAGGCATATGATAGAGTCGAATGGCCCTTTCTTTAGGGGTTTTGGAAAAAATGGGGTTTAACTCGGTCTGGCAAGGATGGATTCAGGAATGCCTTCAATCTACGTCATTTTCGGTCCTAATGAATGGGACCCCAGCTGGGTTTTCTTCCCCTTCCCGAGGGCTCAGACAGGGTGATCCGCTATCTCCCCTTCTTTTTGTCATCTGTACAGAAGGATTTGCGGCTCTCCTTCGTCAAGCCATATCGAAAGGGAAATTACAAGGTGTCAAAGTGGCCCCTCGTGCACCTCGTATCTCTCATTTGTTCTTCGCCGATGATTCTTACCTTTTTCTTCGAGGTTCCCTCCAAGAATGTGAGAATTTGATTGAAGTTCTAAATGAATACGAGGAGTTGAGTGGCCAGAGAGTGAATCTAGAAAAATCGGTTGTCTGCTTCAGTAAAAATATTGCGATGGCGGATCAGGAATTTTTTGCAGCAATTTTAGGAGTAGGGGCTGTGGGAGTCCACGATAAGTATTTGGGCCTACCCTCTCTGATAGCTCGGTCAAAAATGGCTACTTTCCGCTACCTGGCGAACATTGTCGTGGGCGGCTAAGGAAACATTGATTTCAGTGTCATTAGCTCTACCTCTGCATGTTATGTCCTGTTTTAAGTTACCCCTGGCTCTGTGTCGCCTACTTGACAAGCATGTAGCCCGATTTTGGTGGGGGGTGGAAGAAGGAAAATCTAAGATCCGTTGGATTTCTTGGAGGAACTTATGTAAAAGTAAACATGAAGGGGGCATGGGGTTTCGCCGTTTTGAGTTTTTCAATCAAGCTTTGATGGCTAAAATTGGTTGGCGTATACTTGAGGAACCCAGTCCCTTATTGCCTAGGTGTATGAAGGTAAATATTTCCCCAATGGGACGTTTCTCACTGCTCAGGCCCGGTCTCGTCCCTCTTGGGGGTGGCAAAGTATCCTCTTTGGCCTTCAATTGTTGGAATCAGGATTGCGATGGCAAGTCGGGAATGGGCAGAAGGCTCATCTGCTAACGTCCAGTTGGATTCCCCAGCAACATCCCAATCATCCAGTATATAACCCGTGCGTGGTTCCTGATGGGGAGGGTTTGAAGGTGGAGGAGGTCATCCACTCAGGGAGGGACGATGGAATGATCAAAAACTCAGTCAATGGTTTGATCCAGCTACCTGTAGAGCCATTAAGACCATCCCTCTGCCGCGCCAGAATATTGAGGATAAATTGATGTGGCATCCGACTTCTGATGGCATTTTCTCCGTTAAGTCTGCGTACTACGTCGCGGTGAATTTGGATCGTCAGAATGGTCGTTGGAGGGCCTTGGCTAGTTGGATGGATAAACCAAGTTGGATCAGGCTGTGGGAGGCGGATATTCCTCCAAAGCTTAGGGTGTTTGTATGGCAAATCTTTCATAGAATTTTTCCTACTACGGAAGCGTTGCGTGAAAAGAAGGTGGACGTTTTGCCTCGATGTCCGGTGTGCTGGGCGGCATTGGAAACTCTGGAACATATGTTCTTGGAGTGTCCGGTGGCTCGTGCATTGTGGGATCATTCTGGGCTAGCCCATCTGGGTGAAGGTTTGCCTCGCCATACGTTCCCGCTCTTTCTGAGGAAATTGTTGGCTGTGGTGCAGAACCCTGCTCTGTTGATGTCTATAGTGGCTGTTCTGTGGCGGATTTGGCGCTCCCGGAATTGGGTGGTCTTTGAAGGCAAACAATTCGGGATCCCTGCCTTGATGCGGCAATTCCACCAACAAGTGCAGGAGTGGCTTAGCTTACCCCGGGACCAGATTGTTCAGATTGCTCCCCCCTGGCCCCTACCATAATGTCTGATGGAGCTGAAACGACAATTTATATGTGGGATGGGGCTGTGCGGATGAGATCTCATGCGGAAGGGGGGATGGTTATCCTTAATTCTGATAGAGCGGTCATCCTTGCGAAGGGGGTTCATTTCCCGTTCCTTAGTGATCCAATGATGGTTGAAGCTCTGGTTCTCCGGGAGGCGATTAGCTGGTGTTTGGCTAATGGATTCACTATCATGAGGTTTGAAGGTGATGCCCAGGTGATAATTGAGAAGATTCTCCGGAAGGATATTCGGGATAATTATATAGGGGTAATTCTGGAGGAGATAGTCAATTCATTTGCTTCAAACTTAGGTTTCTCTGTACGATTTGTAGGTCGACGAAACAATAGGGTAGCTCATTTGGTAGCTATACAGGCCCTGTCTTTGTTCCCGACTGCATGTCGATCTTTTGATTTCCAAGCCTGGCTGTATTCCAGGATGTAATGATCTATTTGTTTCAATCTAATGATTATCTTTTGTAAAAAAAAAAACTATGTATTCTCTTTTGTTGAGGAGCAATGTTGCGACTAAAGATCTAGCTTGTTACCTGGGAAGCGATAGTTGAATAAGATAGTTGTCTCAGGTAGGGCTATCGGTTTGATTTACTTCGATCACCAAACCGAGCCTATTATAAAATGGAAACCTATAAATTGTTTCCCAAAATGAAACCAAACCCGTCAAGGGGCTAACCAAAAATTGAGAAGCTCCTTAACGGGGTTGGTTTTAGTTAGAACAAATAGAAGCCGAACCCATATTGTATCCTTTACAATAGTTTTGGTTAGAATAAAGTTTCTTTTGTTATTAATTTTCGGTTTAAATCAAAATCGGTAAAATTAAAACTAAACTGGACCAAAAACCCAAAGCGACAAGATTCCTATCAATTTGATTTATGTTTAAACTGTAAAACTAACCAAAATTTACCAGTCCCAGTCTCATGTCAAGTTGTGTTATATGGAGTGGTGGTGTAACTGCAATATGAAATATATAAATTATTTACATGTCATAAAAATTAGTTTAGGTACTTCAATTTACCTCTAGTATTAATATCATATTGTAGTGATCTATTCAAAACCAAAGACGAGAAGGATGCTGTCAGCCTGGACCAAAGAATTGCAGATTCAATTAAGGAAATGGTGAAAAGTAGAGAAGCAAAGGTAAAAAACAGAGAGGCCGCTGGCTTTGGGAAAGATTATCTGGGACTACTTCTCAAGGCTTATCATGATGAAGGCCAATCCAATAAGATTTCTATAGAGCAATTGGTCGACGAATGCAAAACCCTTTATGTCGCTGGACAGGAAACAACAAACACTTTGCTCTCTTGGATGATTCTGCTTTTATCAATCCACCAAGATTGGCAAGAAGAGGCAAGAAAGGAGGTTCTAACAGTATTTGGTCATGATAAACCCCCTTATGCCGATGGGATTACACGGCTAAAACTGGTGAGCATACTCTTTTGCCTTTGAATTTTTTTTCTCGTGAGTAATACAACTATTGATTCATATGTTTTGAGAAATGGGATGTCAGTCAATTTGGATTGTGGAAAACTATAAGAGTTCTTATGAAGGAGATGACTTGAAAAATTTGAGGGGAAAAACAAGATGAAAAAAATTACATAGTCAGCGTTATTGCGCCTTCATCGTGTTGTAGATATTAGTAATGGTATGCGGTCCATAATTTAATTTCTCATAGTAACTCAAGTTGTTGAGAGTAAATGGTATTTGAGTTGGTATCAACGTCTTCAATTTTCGAGAGGTCTTCTGTTCGAACCCCGACGACCTCATTTGTTAAGCAGTATGATATGGTAATCCGTGCGAACTTGAATCCAATATGAGTTAGACTTTTGTTTGAGAGAAGTATGAACATTTCGAGTTATTGGGAGTAAATGGTCTTGAGATTGAGATCATTCTTTTGATATAGTATCACCCGATGTAACTCTAATCAATGTCACAAAACCAAGGTTGTCAACCCGCGGGTTGACCCGGACCCGGTCAAGCTAGTGGGTTAAGGGTTAATGGGTCAACCGCTTTAGCCCAGTTTGGCCCGAAAATATGGAAATAATCATTATATTGTATTTATCCTCATAAATTATATCAAATCTTATCTAACATATGAGTTATAACATATAATATTGCACCAAAATAACATATCGTACTTAGATCCAACATATAGTGAAAATTCACACACACTTATATAACATAAATATTCAAATGTTCAACTTAGAATTTCAAAGATTGAGTTAGGCGAAAAGAAAAATTGGAAAATAGGCGCATTTCACAAATTAAAGAAAAAAATGACACAATTTGACCTCCAACCCGGTACCTTATAGTGGTCGGCCCGGCGAGTGCGTGTGACCCGTTTTTCTCACCGGGTCAGGGTCAAATTGGGTCGACCCGCGGGTTGACAACCTTGCACAAAACCAATAGGTAGAATTTTTTTTTTTTGGTTAGATTGAAACTTCCTGTATAATCAAGTTATTGGCTCTCATGTAACCTACTCTCTCTTGTTTTCAATCTTTTTTACAGATGGGTATGATCATGAATGAAACTTTAAGGTTGTACTCCCCAGCATACTCAGGATTCATGCGTGATGTCGATAAGGAAATCAGACTTGGGAAGTTTGATTTGCCTGCGAGTGTCCAGTTTCACATTCCAATCATGACGATTCACCACGACCCTGACATTTGGGGAGAAGATGTTAATCTTTTCAAGCCAGAAAGGTTCGCAGAAGGAGTTTCTAAAGCGACAAACAATAACCCAATTGCATTCATGCCCTTCGGGATGGGACCCCACATCTGTGCAGGCTTCAACTTTGCCACCAATGAGGCCAAGATAACCATTGCTATGATCCTTCAACGCTTCACTTTCAGGCTCTCCCCGGGCTATGTCCATTCTCCTTTTCCTGTTTTGGCAGTTAGGCCAGAGAAGGGGGTTCAAGTTATCATCAATGCACTGTAAGCAAAAAATAGATACAATTACTAATAATGTGTGTTGGAGTTTCTAGTAAAAGAACAACATTTGTCTTTCTTTTTTGTATTTATTTTTATATTACAATGAGTTGATGTATGGAATGATTAAATAAGTCGTAGTACTAACGATACAAATTTTTAGGCAGGGTGGAAGTCAGGATTCAAACTTCCCCATGAGGGGGGGTAATCTTTCAAACTGAATAATAATAAGGGTATAATATTATTTATTATCTTAAATGTACATTATTCTCTTTGAGAGTAACATAATCACTCAAAATAGCATATAAACTAAAAGTTCCCACTACCAAGACTATAGGCAAGCAAATCATCACTCATTTTGTTGCGTAATTTGGTCTTCACTAGTATCATGGCAAAAAAAGTTCATTCACCAATCACCACTAGTGATAGAGATGGGAAGAGTGAAACTAAGATGAATAAACCGATCGACAAAACCAAAGATCTTTTCACTTCCCCAATTCCGCTAAACCATGACACAGTTGAGCAACAAATGATAGATTAACTAAAGAAGCATGCCTAAGAGCATCAACATGAAAAAACTTCAATTCGAATGTCCATCTATATGTTTTCTTTTCAGATATATTTTATTGCAAGATTGTATATAATATCAATGTCGAAGGCTTTGTATCCATTGATAGGATCCAAACTCGAGCTCAAATTCAAAGAAACACGTCTATCTCTCCTAAACTAAACTAGTTTGGTGCTCGACGCATTGCTCGTAATGTCATTTGAACACAATGTATTTACAATACGTATCCTACTTTTTTAAATTATTTAAAAAGATAATTTTGTTTAACACTAGTGAATTTTCAAGATCTGTCTATTTATTTCCTGTAAGCATAGATGATGTAGCTAGTGTGAGTAGTTAGCATTAGAAGACCTTGTAGAATACGGCCCTAGCCATTACTAGGATTATAACTCGATTTCTAACATAAGTTTTTGGTGCCATTGCTAGGGAATTCTGATCATACATATAAAAGCATCTAACCATCTTATGTCTCTTTTGGTTTGCAGAATATTATATGAGTTCAGTAAGTACTAGAATAAATAAAATAAAAAAAATCTAAAGATCATGCAAGAGATCTTCCAAGAATGAGGAGCATTGAGCTCACCCATCTTGAGGACGAAGGATGGAGAATCTATCTTAGGAGAAGATAAGCTTTCAAGGCACACCAATCTTGTGCCAAGCTTGGGTGAGGAGAAGAATATTGACAAAGACGGCAACTTCGATTCTGAAGTTGATGAGCCTATTCAACATCATCAATGGCTGGAGAAGGAGGAGGACGACGACGAGCGACGATCCCACCTACTCTCTATGAGTACTTTTAGCCAAGGCCATCAAACATCACCTCAAGCATTATTGCACCATAAACTAACATCGAGAACTAATCCAAATGGTGCAACAAGATGGAGATTCGCAAAAGGGAATAATGATGAACCTATGCAACATTTGAAGATATTGTTGGAGATCGTCAACTCTATTCCATGAGATAAAGCTACCAATGATGGAATTTGAGTACTACTTCTCCCATTCTCTCCTGGTGGAAGGGAAAGGCGATGGCTCGATTACCATCAATCAGGAACTTTCACCACATGGGAGAACCTTGCTCAAGCTTTCATCAAGGGGGGGGGTACTTTCCACCATGTAAGATGGAGGAGCTTAAAGATGAGATCAATAAATTTCAACAAAAAGGAGAGAATTTCTATATTGTTTGAAGAAGAATCCAAGAGTACATCAAGGCATGCCCCATCATGGATTCGCACCAGGTAAGAGTGCAAAGTACTTCGCCTAAGGCTTAGATCGAGATAACACTATGATGGTGAACCATTCGGCCAATGGGGATTTCACAATAATGATAGGAGTGCAATGGCAAGAACATTTCGCCAAACTAGCAAGGAAGTCAAAGAACTGGTCCAAACGACCATCAACGATCAAACCATTGAAAGCTGTCCAAGGAAGGGAGGATTAATTTTCCACCCTCTGTGTACATGTGAAGGGGCTGACCCAACAACTAAAGAAAGCATCAAAGGAGTCAAAGAATGGACTAGTGACATCCCTGATTGTTTTTAAAGCATGTGAAGAAGAAGGGCAGGAAGGTGTCGAGTGCTATAGCCATGGCGGGCAAGGACATGTAGAAATCAATTACATTAATCCAGCTAAACGTGAGTCCTAAATCTTCTAATCAACACATTCTTGTTCCCTTTGTACCACCCAATCAAGCAATTACTAGAGCTTTACTTGTAGAACCAGTCTAAATTCACCCAATTAAACTAACATTGAAACTTTTCTTTCATTACACCAATTGACCTGGCGTTCGGAAATTTCAAATCTTGTCTAGGATTTTGGATTTGGTTGCTCAGTTCACTCCTACTTTCCTCGTTATCCCCCTCATATGTCTCTTTCTCACTTCCTTGATTTAGCTCGAAGCTCTGTTGAGATTCCCTGATATAATGTCGTAAAATTTTGCATAGGGTGCAAATATCAACCTCTAGAAGCATACGCCTTTGTTCTACAGAAGTTTTGTGTATCAAAATGAAGAAATTGAATAGTGGTGAAGCGATAAGATAATATCAGGAATTGTTTTTGTTAAGAGTGATAGAGATTTACTTTTTCTGGTTAGGTACTACTTAAGGGATTTGAACCTAGGACTTCCAAATTAAAGGCTAGTGGTATTACCACTAGTACAAACCCTTATTTTTGATAATTCAGGATGTTTAGGTTGAGGGGTGTTCATGAATCATTGAGCGAGATGTTACTATGTATTGAAGGGTGCTTGTGCAACTTGGTTCAGTTTTGGGTTTTGTTGGCGTCAATTCAATAGACCTTTCAAGCAGACTATTCTGTCTTCGTTATTACCATATCGACATAGCATTTTCAAATGTTTTTTATTGAACTCTTATGTGCTGCTAGATGAGAGCCGACTTAGATTTGAATTTTTATCGACAATAAGAGATGGAGAAGTAGTGGAAAACAAAAATAAAAAGGATTGGAAAGAGAGGTCATATGCACATTCATTTGTTAATTTTATTTTCCTTTTTTTCCTAAGAAATATATTGTTTCTTTATTCCTTTTTCCCTTTTTTATTTACTAAAAATGTTTAAAGTCACAAGTTTCCAAGTTAAGAAGAAAATGTCACGTAAGCCTATTTTATTATATTTATCACAAAAAATGTTTATATTTATCACAAAACTCCATGTTTTGGTTATACATTCGTATTTTGTTTACACTAAAATACACAGACAATTTAATATTTAATGTTCGAATCAGTGCTACGTGAGTACCAATTTTTAATTAATCTCTTTCTATAAGATATAATTTAAATATGAAAGCGTCAACACAAAATATGTTTCTAGAGTTTAATTAAATAAACACAATGTAGCCTAGTTGGTTGTAGTACTCTTTCTTCATTTTAGTGATAGGGTTCAAATAATAATAATAAATTTTAATATAGAAAAATAAAGTGGGTACAATTACAAATGACCATACAAGAATCACTCTCAAGAATAACTCTCAGCTATGAAATTTGAAATATGGGTTGGCAGTTCCACTCTAAAGGGAGGTGTAGAGATAATGACCATAAAGTAAATCACACCAAATATTTTAACCAACTTTGGTTAAGATGCTTTACTTCTACAGGTGTAGTGGTTGGTTTTATGCGGATTTTAGTGTATTTTAGAACCACCAATTATTTATGGTTGAGTTGGGTGATTACAGATGATGGATGGTTGGATGGGTTTGGTAAGTTTACAACATTCATTTTAAAATATAATATAATTTATGTTGTTTTTAACGGAAGATGAATAAATCTCCAAAGAAAATAACGTTTAATCTATTGTGAGCAAGCTAGCCATCAAGAATGTGAATTTCCAAGCATTCCAAGTTGTGATTCAATCATGAATGTATGACGGGCTGAAAATGGTTAATTGTGTAAACAATGTGAGGATACCTACTTTGGAGGCTTGTATCTTCATATTGGAAGACAATCAATGGGAGTTTGGAGTTGAAGCTGAGAGTACAAGTCCTGCTAAAGATTGTGAAGGCGTTGAATGAGAAGATTGAAGTTTCCTAAGCACCGAACGAGCAGCCACAAGATCGTATGTTGACTGGTCAAAATCCACGGTCATAGAGGCAATTCCACGACCGTGGAATTGAAGTTTAGACAGTGGAATTTGTTCAGGACAATTCCATGATCAAGACACCCAAATCAACGACCGTGGAATCTGATGGCTAGACCGTGGAATTTTGCTCGACAGTTAAACGCCCTTTATTGTTTAGGATTCTTTTTCCTTTTCTCTATTTTCATTAGTTTTATTTTTCAGACCTGTTTAAAGGGTTGTAAGACACAAATTTGAGCAGATTATGTTGAATGAAAAGAATTCCCTTTTGGTTCATTGAGTTTTTACTCTTGAATTGGCTATTGTTAATTGGTGAACTCCAATTTCCTAAGTGTTTGCTTCATATCAATCGAGTATTCTACTTGATTGTAGCTGATCTTCTAACCTTATATTGATAGAGCCTTCTCCCGGGTGTGAGATTGCACTTTAATCCGCCTTATCATTTTTACTTTTTCATGTTGTTGAGAGAAATTTAGAAAAACTCTGAAAAGATTGTGGCTGCGTGACTTTGATAAAAAAAACCCTAATCTTTCACTAGCTCGAGATCTTTTCAGGTGGTACCAGATCCCCGTTCAAATCAGTGACAAGAAGAAGGAGAAGAAAGCCATACAAGTTTGGTCACCTTCTCTCTGGCTTCATGCAAAAAAGTTTGGTCACCCTCTCTCTAATGTGGTGGTCATCCACATAAATATTTACATAATACTCCCCCTTGGATGACCACTAGATTGCATTACATTATCTCATGATGCCTCATTAAAAACATTACCAGGAAAACCGAGTGGAAAAAAGCCATGGTCGTCCACATAAATTTAGAAAAACTCTAACCTCTTTGGTCACCCTCTCTCTGGCTTCATGCAAAAAAGTTTCACCCCCTTCCAAACTACAAACCATATCATTTCTAGCTCTACGTATATCTTCTCACATCGTCGGGATATTAGTTTCCATCAGATCATTAGGAAGATTATCGATTGAAGTAACCCGACCTCTTTGAACATCGCTACTCTGCCCAACTTTGAATATTGACTCACTCCTACTGTCACTCTAGAAATTGGCCAAGTGTAACCACTTCCTAAAGCGTAGTATAGCGGGTTTGGGTTTTAATGTCAACCCGGGTCCTAGATTTGATGACTACTCGGTGAATTCTTGTTATCTAGCAATAAAACTTTAGTGCAAGTCCAAATTAACAAACAAACACAGTAAGTTAAACGGTTTTTTTCAAGTCGAGAGTGGTCACCCGGATATGGTTCCCCCTAGACTGCAGTTAAGCCGGATTGCAATTTACCAAGTTCAGTTTTCATGAAATTTATACTGCGGAAGGTTCTTAAACAGCCTGAAGTCTCGACTAAAGGTCTCCAGACCCTCTCAATCTGAGTCTCCAGCGGGCGACTAACCTCCACCGGAGTAAACAGATTGAGGCCCTAACGAACCAAACCTCCACTACCGAATTGAATTCGGTACAGAATAGTGAATTGGCTCCTCGACTAAAGTCGCCAATTCAACACCTTCAATTAAGGGTGCTCTATCAACCTAGGCAGATATTCCCATTCTAGGTTAAAGCAGAAACAACAGGAATTTGATCAGGATTCAAGTCATTCAATCATTCAAGCCTCAATCGAATATAATCAAATCATAAACTCTGTACTCGGGTTCATACAATCAGACCTAACATACAAATCTAGGATTCCCCATACCCAGATGAATGGGGAAACTACTCCATGGAGAGAGAAGCAAAAGCAAATTCCGATGCGGAAATCATACTGTGAAGGATGGATTTCTGCTCCTGGTCGTCGATCGGCACTCCTCCAAGCTCAAGCCGGGCTCCAATGGTGATGAAGATCAAGCTAGGGCACTTGGGAACTCTTGTTTGTCGCTTTCTCTCTCTAGGAATCGCTTTGTCTCTCTAAAACTCGAATCTCCCTCTCCTTTGGCTGAAATCTGCCTAAAAGGGCATCACTGGGCAAAACACGGTGGAGGGCACGACCGTGCTTTGCTCCAGCCTGCCCGTGCCTTGCCACGTGTTAAAAACACGACCGCTACTTTGGGAAAACACGGGCGTGCTTGATGATGGACACGGCTATGTTTTGGGTCAGTCCCGCCCGTGTTTTGAGCTAGTGTAGGACAAACGTGGATGAAGCATCGGCAGTAAAAAAACGGTCCAGGAACACGGCCGTGCTTTGATTTAGGAGCACCCGTGCTTTGGCTCCAGCTCGACCGACTGACTTCCGAATGCCCCGAAACTCGTGCTTAGCCTTTCCTTCGACGTCTGGGATCTGAAATGTGACAAAGTAGCACAACCCGGCGTAAAATAGGCCAAAAATACACGACTATGCACCACAAACGGATAATAACTAGAGGTGCAAACATGTGCAATTTCATCATTATCAAATATATAATTTTTAGCAGCTTTGATCTTTTCGAATTCTGCCAAGTAAATCAACAGATTTAGTGGCCACTTCCAAAAAACTTCTCACCCCTTCATCATATTTTGCACCGAATTTGTCTTTTAACTTCACCCATTTTTTGTCCATGGTGAGATAGTATGTAGATGTAAATTAACCTTGACTTGTAGCCTTTACGACGAATAGTCAAGTTCCGTCCAGCTCGAACTCCCAATTCATCTGCAAAAGAGAGTAGCACCAGAGGATGAACTCAGAACACTGCTAGAAAATTGACAGTATGCTCACAAAACGTAGATTTTAGTGAAACCGAAAGATGAACTCAGGCCACTGGACTAATGACAAAAGTCCATAATGGAGAAATCAAGCATAGTAAAGCAATGGGTTATAGGTATAATATGCCTCTCTACTATGAAGTTTTATCAAACATGACCCTCTATTATTTTTTACGACAAATAAAAGCTAGTTGGAAATCGAACATCACAAACTCGCAAAATCAGACATGCTCATCAGTGATAGAACTCCATAATCAAGAAAACTAAGGTGTTCAAGCAATCAAATAGAGTCGTAACCAACATCACAGCATCACAATGAAACTGAAAAGATCAGTGGAGAAGACGTCGTAATTGACATCGGCTAAAGAGATTCGTCGATAAAACGGGATTGAACGATCAATCGACAACAAAGTAAAATTAGGACATGCAGTCAATCATGGATAAGAAATCTATCGACAGTGCAGTACGATTTGTAAGACCAGAGATCTGAAGACGAAAATCGAACAGCCAAACAAAAAATCTATCGACATGAAACAGAAAAATCTTAGTCTGTACCTAATTAGAGCCTTCCTCTATTCATCTGGGCTTCAATCGGGAAGACTGGGGATTACGATTTTGGTGATGGATCATGGTGTTTCTGAGGGAAGAACAATTCTAGGGATTATAGTTGTTCGTGAGAAAGGAGAAGGGTTAGGGTTTTTTTGGGGAACTGGAAGAGTCTGCTGGGTTCCACAGAGGGGAGAGCGGGAGTGCGAAAAAATAATGTTGGATTTTTCCCTCCATAGAATTAATTAACAATAATGTAGGATAATGTGACAAATACTTTTTCATATTTTCGCTATTTAGTTTTTGTGACAAACCATGATAGTGACTATGTATATTGCGTAATATTATTTACGTACAAATCAGTAGCGATAAACATTTTTACAAACCTATTTGTCATATTACACCTACATCATTTTATGTGACAAAAAATTCTTATGACAAGTTATTTTGTCACATTATTATGTGCAGTACACATAATTCCATGATGTTATGATAAATATTTTGTGATATAAACAATTTTTGTCACATTGAGAAGCCAATGTGAATAATCTTTGTGACAAATCTATATTCGTCACAATAAAAAAGTCTCTTGTGACGAAAGAAATATTTTGTCATATTTTTGTATCTATTGTGAAAAAATTGGTAGTGACAAAATTATGTTTTGTCACAAGAGACATATTTTCTTCGCAGTGCCTCCGCAAACACCAAGTGGTGTACCGCGATTCGAACTTGAGACCTAACACATCTCAAAGTCGAAAGACAACATTCCCAACCAATTCAGTTGTGTTATCTTTGTCGAAGACATATGTATTATTAGGAGCAAGACTTATAAATGATTCAATAAGCTCCTCAAAGTGTAATGAAATATTCAGCCTCAAATGAGAGACATTTTAATTTTCATTAACATCTTTGTCTATGTATATTGTTGTCATGCTACCGATTATTTGTCAATGAAGATTTTTTTTTGGTGTGAAGTGCTATGGATGAGCTTTAAAGAACACAATTATATTTACGAACAAGATTTTTGTAAATTATTTTATCTAATTAATTTTTATTATCATAGAGTAATTACCCATATGTATCATTTACAGTTGATTTAATATGATCAAATAGAAACAATAATTGGCAAGTGATGAATTCGAGCCGGAGTTTTCATGCATGTATTGATGTAGTTGTATGCATTAGCAGGGTGAGTAGTACACGAGAGGTTTAATTATATTTGTTGAGGGTCTAAGAGTATCCTTCGACTAAATTTCGAGTATGTTGAATGACAAAGATTTTTCACATAAAGCAAGGATGATGAATGTTATTTTTCTATCGAATTTGTTATTGCACTATTTAGAATATTTTAATATTAAGAGTTTAATAAATATGTGCTATTTATACTATCTTCTGTGAGGCAAAGTTTCTTTTTGCTATTTAAGTTTTCTTTTAAATCATAGATAACTAGTGACCACATCATTAAATAGACATGTCATGAAATTAAGAAGTGTTATCATCATTAAGAATACATTGTTCGATCATTAATAAAATATTATAATGATTTCAAAATTGGAAATCTAATAATTAATTTCAATGTCGCCTTAATGTAATATAAAATTAAGCATTGAAAATAACTTTAAAAAAATGAAGATTCATTTTATAAATATGTTGCGTTCAAATGACATTTCGACCAACGAAACTACACCAAACCAAACAAAAAAGTAAGAAAAAGAAGTTTGAGAACGCGGATGGCTTTAGCCTTCCATTTTACCTTTTGGAAGCTTTCGATCTTCAAAGCTAAACCTGCATTATTACATCCATGAAATACAAAATGTCAACGGAAAATAAAGAGAAGAGAGGGGTTGGATGGTCATGTAGACAGCAATGATAAGCTATATTATATTTGAGGATTATGAAGGGTCTCCTATATATATGTACACAATATAATGAACAAGTAATTTCTCAATATTCTTTCTTCCATTTGTGAAAGCAATGAGTCCTCTAACTTCTCTGCTTCTCGTCCCGGCCACCGCCTACATCGTTTATGCCGTCGTCAAATTCCTCCACACAGTAATATGGCAACCTCTCCAGACACAGCGGTTCCTCAACTCGCAGGGGCTCAAAGGCCCTCCTTACGCTTTCCTCCTAGGCAACGCCAAACAACTCCTTCAGTTCAGAGAGGAAGCGTTGACCAAACCCATGCCCACTCTTTCCCACGACATAGCTCACAGGGTCATCCCTCACATCTCCGCATGGACCAAGCAATACGGTACGTACGGAGAAAGATGGTTTCAAATTTCAGTTCAGGGGACGTGCTTTAATTTTGTGGGGTTATCATATGCTATATTTACTTCTCCTGCTGTTACTGAAGGAATTTCGTATTATGTTTTGCTGGAAATAGGGAAGAACTTTGTGTTCTGGATTGGACCGCGAGCTCAAATGGTTCTCGGAGACCCAGATTTAGTCAAAGAAGTTCTAAGCAACAAAAATCGTATTTTCTCTAAATCCGACCTATTGTCTCCTTACCTGCAAAAGATTTTTGGCCGAGGACTTGCGATTAACGAAGGTGAAAAGTGGGTTAAGGTGAGAAGAATGACAGATTTCGCTTTGCATGGCGAGAACCTCAAAGTTAGCTACAGATCTCAAACTTTTCTTTAAATTCGTTTTATATTTTATCTTTGTTTGAGTTGACGCTTCTAACGAGCGAAAATAATAATGTTATGAGACTACATCTCTGCCACGCTTAATTAGTTAAGTTAGTCATTTACTCATAATTATTTGAAGTGATTGAAGTTTATAATTGGGAGGAACGCAAGTTGAGCTTTTTTCTAATGCCCACTCATTCTTTAAGTCTACTTCTTCTTCTTTATGGAAATAAAAAGATGGGTTCAACTTGTAAGGTTTGACATTGACTTTTTTTTTTTTGCTTGACAGTAAAGACATTGACTTTCTTAGATAAAGGAAATCTCATTAGTTTGGAATCTTAAGATCATCTTAATTTTATTAGCTAATAAGTAAATAGTCTGAAATTACTATACAAGATAACTGTATAGCTACTAGGTGTGGGCATGTGGGTGGGTAATCCGTAATTTAACATCTATCCACACGAAAATTAATAACTCAAACCACTGCGGATGGGTAGTTGATGTGCGTGGATTGTGAATCGATAAATCTTCTACCTGCACTTATCAGATGGATGGGTTACGGGTCACCCGAATGACCTGCACCCCATCTTTACATAGAAAATAATTTTTTTTTCTTTTTTATACAATCGAATAGTCATCTTATTTCTTAGCCGACAATACACAGTGACCATCAACTTCTAAAATTGTAAAATAAAGACTAATTTTGGCTACTACTATTGGTTACTATGTAATGTAATATCCATTAGGTAGTGAGATGCAAATAATAAACAATTAATTGAATCCAAGTCGGAAAAAAATTTCTACATAATTAGTTTTTGAAGTAATGAAAGATTCGAAAGAGTACTAGACATTTTCATAGGAGACAAATTGAGAGGTGTCTAAATTGATGCAGTCTTGCTAATTTGCGAGGAATTTATTATAGATGCTAGTCAACTTGCCTAATTATCAGTCACATAATTGTGTTTGCGGTTTAACCCACAACTCAATCGCATTCATCCACCACCCACCCAACCCAACCCGATGAAATTTGTGGGTGTGTTGCTGGTCACAATTGTACCAACTCATTGAATTGGTAAGTGGGTGAGTCAGTATAAGAGCGAAACTCACACAATCACCTATTTCCCGACCCTAATTGCAATATCAAAGTTAGGGAAAATAAGTGCTCATTCGGATGAGTAACTCTAGAGGATTAATTTGTCTCAATTATCATGTTTTGAGATAATTGGGTCAAATTGACATGTTTGGCAATATTAACTTTTGATGAAACAATTTGGTCTGAAATATTTTTAATTGACTCGTTTGTAGGCAATTACAATTGTCTAAAGTGGGAGCAGGTGATTCAATTGGTTTGTTTTAAATGAGTCCTTTTGTAAAATGAGATATTTGACCAATTGTATCGTTTTCTAATTAATTGATCAAAACAATCCGAATTTTTTCCTAAAAATCATGGTTATGGAAAGCTGTGAACACCCAACTACTGTTATAGTTAACCAACTGAAAAGGACTGCTTCACATATAGTTATATGGTGGTTATGACCATTATTTAAGACCTATTATCATTATATTTTGATATGTATCATTATCATGGGCCGATATATGGGTTAGTGGAATATAACAACAAAAATTTATGTTGGTGTTTGGTACGGGGCATATGTATGGAATTCACATAAAAAACAAAATTAAATAGTTATAAATAAACATATCGAAAGTGACATTTGAACATTTGATTCTTTGCAGAGTATGGTACCGGACATGATTGCTAGTGCAGAGATGATGCTAGAGAGATGGATGATGAACGACGGGAAAGAGATCGAAGTTCATGAAGAATTCAGGATTCTGTCGTCGGAAGTGATTTCCAGGACAGCTTTTGGGAGTAGCTTCAAGGAAGGACAACATATATTTGGCATGCTCAACGAATTGACGAAAATTTCCGATAGGAATACATTCAAAATGAGTATTCCAATAATTAGGTATGTACCTCTGTCATCTCTTAGTTCAACTGGTTGCATATGATTATGCATGACAAGAAAGTCTCGATGAATCGTAACCTACAATTGTAAGAGATTTTGTTTATAACTTACAAGCGACAAAATGACATTGATATCGAAAAACCTTTTTGTTTATTTCTTTGAATGATTAATTCAGACTAATGATGTACTTACAATATATAAGCTAGAAAATCCTAACACGTAACCTAGCTAAATCCAAACCCCACTACTAGTCTATAGCCAACTCGGCCACACAATGAACAAGACTCCTAATTGGCCACTAAACTACTTGGTCCATGCTATTCCATGCACTAACAAACTAGTGTTAACTCCGTAACCCAATAACTAACCCATGAATACTAAATACATAACCATACAAACCAAAAAGGCCAAAAAACAGAACTTGCTGTTTCTGGGATCCGGATAGTATAACAACACTCTTTTTGTTGTTATAATAACAATAGGATTCATTAAGGGTAAAAGGGTAAATTAACAATAAAAATAATAAATAAAAATTAATCCACACGCGCATGTTCTTCCACACGGTATGTTCTTGCTCTCAGATCCGGTGTAGAGCAGATCCCCCGACGCGGCGAGGGAGTAGACGTGTCCCTCCTGGCGGACGATGGATCCGATGAGGCTGTCCCCGCTGCCGGTGCCGTCGTTGGGGAAGAGCGCAGGGGAAGGGATAATGCAGGAGGATTTCATGTACGGAGACAACGGGTGGTGGCTGCTGTTGACGTTCCAGGGGGAGAACAATTGGCCGCCGGCGTACGGCGAGCAGGTGGTGCGCGGAGAGGAAGAGGCGTGGCCGCTGCTGGGAGTTCCGCTGCTGTTGGAGTTCCGAGGCGTGCTGGTGACGCTGGAGGAATTCGTTGGGCGGCTGCTGCTGATGTTCTTGTTGTTGTGATTGGTTTCGTCGTCGTTGTCGGAACGGAGGACGGTGGAGCTCAAGTCCCCCATACTCATATTCCTCTTCTTCCACAAAGCTATCCGGTTGGAGCTCGACGACCTCCACCCGCCGCCTTGGATTTCGCCACCAGTGGCGGAGATATTAAACCTCTGCTGTACAAGTATCACTTCGTCCGTGGCATTTACAAGCACCAATGCAATTAGACTCACTTTAATTTTCATTGCAAAACACCAATTTAGTTCATTTGTAATTGCAATTAGTGAGTACAAGTCAATTTATAATTTTCCTAATGCAGATCACAAGTCACTAAAACCAACCAAAAACAGAATAAACAAAATCACAAATATTTCTAACACCAAAAACCCCCTAGTTCAAACCACAAACGCAATAAAACAACCCACAAAAAAACATACCGGAAACCTCCTAATGCAAACCACAAATTCGCTAAAATATATAAAAAAAACCCACAAAGCAAACCATAAATATTTTGCAAAGCACAACAGAAACCCCCTAATACAAACCACAAACAAGGTAAAGCAAACAAAAAACGTCCTAATGCAGACCACAAATATATTAAAACAAACCAGAAATCTCGCAAAGCAAACCACAAAAGTTTCGAAAGCACACCAGAAACTTCTTAATGCAAACCAGAAACCTCCTAATGCATACCACAAATCTCCTAAAACAAACCACAAACCTCACAAAGCAAACCACAACATTTGCGAAAGCACACCAAAAAACCTCCTAATGCAAACCACAAACATAGTAAATCAAACCACAAAAAGCAAACCATAAACGTCCTAATGCAAACCACAAATATATTAAAACAAACCAGAAACCTCACAATGCAAACCACAAAGTTTTTGAAAACAAACCAGAAACTTCTCAATGCAAACCACAAACACAATAAAACAAACCATAAAAGGCATAAAAAATATGAGAAACCAAACCATAAATCTCACAATGCAGACCATAACATCCGGTGGTCGGGTCAACGAAGACCATTGACGGTCAACGAAGACCGTTGACGGTCAACGAAGTTCGTTGACCGAACTCCGGTGACCGTCAGTGAGCAGATTCCGACGCCGATAGGCATATTCCGGCCCCGGTGATTAGATTCCGACGCCGGTAAGCATATTCCGACGCCGGTAAGCATATTCCGGCCACAAAATAGCATATTCCGGTGACAAAAAGCATATTCCGGTGACCGGCGACCATTTTCCGGCGACCGGTGGCAGAATTCCGACGACCAAATTTTTGGGCAGAAAATAAAAAAATATTTTTTTTATTTTTTATTTTTTTATTTAAATAGATTTTTCATAATGACAATTATACCCCTGCTTTGATTTTACACTAGGTCAACTCATCTAATAAAAAGTCATCACAATCCTATCTTCCTATTAGTTGGGGACTAGTATTGTTACAATAACAACACAATGGGTGTTGTTACAATAACCGGTCCCCTGTTTCTATTATACTATTATTAATCCTATAAGGATAAGTATTATTCGAGTATTTAGTAGTCGATTAGTATTAGGTTACTTAGTTTTTTTTTTTCGTTTATATATAGCATACGTGTCGTCTTTATGTATACATGGAGTTTTTTGTCAAATTAACTAGAAATCAATAAATCAATGTCCCTTTCCTCTCTTATTTTCCTATCCTCTAAATTTCTCATCAGCCTTCTCCTTGAAGACTAACCACCATGGACAGGTTATGGTGATTACTACATAAGTAGTTATCACCGTGGTTACTAAGGGTAAATTGGGTATGAAAAATAAATTGTATTAATTAATTTTTTTAATAAATTACATTTTAGGTAGTTACAAGAATCTATTAATTACAATTCTCTCTCTTTCTCTCACTTCCATAATCTTCAGCCAGATCCCGTTTCCTTATTTTTCTCAATCCTTTTGCAAAAGAAAAAAAGACACGAAATCACTACCAATTCATTAGACAATCACTACCACTTTGAAAAATATCAATACCATTGCAGAAATAAATCTATATCATTACACGAAAGCTACCAATATAAATCTATACCATTTCACAAAAAATCAATACCATTGCAGATTGAATCCATACCAATACATGCAAATTAATACCATTACATGATAATCAATACCAATGCGACAAAAAACAATACCAATGCAAAAAAATACTACCACTACGAAAAAATCACTACCAATGCGAAAAAAATCAGATCTAGGGTTTTTATTCATTCCACCTTTTCCAGCGAATCTGTCGACCCGAGAACTCCATTGCTAATGCTCTGGCGAGCAGTGATTTGCATCACACATGAATATGCAAAGAGGAGTAAGGCTTCCACGCCTGTGCCAAAGCTGTGATGGAGATGTATCAGAAAAAGCTTCCACTACCAAATGTCTGTGCAGTCTGCAAATCCCCCTCCCGATGTAAACAGAGAAGAATATTGGAGAAAAACATCTGCAATGAGCAATTTGCTCTGCTTCGATTGCATCGGAGGCAAAGGAAAAATCACCGGTCAGTTGGCGGTTGCTTGGGAACTCCATTGTTGTATAGACGGTCACGGGTCACGGGGGTGGGTTGGGGTGGTCGGAGGGAGGGACGCCGGTTGTCGGGTGGGAGAAGGGAGAGACGGCGGCTAGATAGATAGTTTGTATTAGGGTTTGAGTATAATATATAGAATAATCAGGTGTGGTATGTTTTTCATTTCCTAAATTACCCTTAGCTAATCTTAATCGTTAATTTAAAAATATAATAAAATAAAAATAATGAATGGTATAGATGTTGGTAGCCACCGTAATTACTCAAAATTGAGTAACCACCATAACTTATTCCCTAACCACCATTCTTCTTCTCTCTTCTAAATCCTATTCTAGTCTATAATTCTTCTTTCAAAATCCTGAGGTCTATTTCCTATACATCGCAATCCTTAAAAAAACTAATTCATTCCGGATTTCGTACCCAAAATCCAAAGACCCCTAGATCCTTGTCTACATAAGCAAACAATATAATTGATGAATGTATAGAGGATTATTATATATATGGTTATGTCTTCGGTGCACTCAATTTTTTTGGTGCATTCAATGCACCCGCCTTATAATCGTCATTCTGAGCAGACGATTCATGTGAAAACGATGTCAACCATCCCTTGTAGTATGATGAACAAGAACCACATGAATTTGTACAAAAATCATTCAAGATTCACTTTAATTTGAATGATTCAGGGTTTAGGAATTTAGAGTTAGGGTTAGGGTTTACAATTTGGGATTTGGGTTTAGATTCAAAATTTAATATGGTTCAGGCTAGCGTACGCCCCATTGAGTTTTGCTATATAGATCATGAATTAATCGGTGCACCCACTTTTTTGGGTGCATTCAATGTACTCGCTTCATAATCGTCATTCCGGATATGTGATTCATGTCAAAACGATATCAATTGTCGCTTATGATATTATTAACAAGAAACATATGAATTTGCAAAAAAAGTCATTCAAGATCTACTTTAATTTTAGGATTAGGGTTTATAATTTAGGGGTTTGGGTTTGTATTCAAAATTGAAGGCTTATGGGTTAGGGTAATGGATTAATAAGTTTTGATCATATGTTATATCATCATTTCAGACTAATGTAACCAATTAAAATCCAAAATTTATTGTCTTAAGGCTACTTGTACAGTTGGGTGCATTGAATGCACTCATTTTTGTGGGTGCACCGAAGTAGCCACCTATATTATATATATCTACCATAATTGTATTGTTTTAAATAATCATACATAACAACTGTGGCAGACCCATGATTCTTGTATAGGCTTGTCAGTTTATAAAATTTAATAAAATAATAAAATAAATTTTAATTATATTTTACTGTGAAAAACAACGAGAAGTGGGATTGAAAGGGGTAAAGGGAACACTGGGATTTTTTTATAAGATAGCAGTTCATATGCAATCTAACTCCCGATCAAAGAGCATTTTTGTCATTAGGTGGACAACTATGTGAAAGCTACAAGGATAAAAAAGAAACAAAACTTATTCATCAGGTAGAGAGAAAAAAGAGAACTTCCTTACGATTACCCCTGCGTAAGACCTAAGAGCAATAAATCATTGCTTCTAAATGCTTAAACAATGGAAATTAAAGAACCCCAAATATGTCATAAGTTAACTAAAATTTTAAATAAATAAATAATATATATTTACATATTTTGGAAACTTTATGACACCAATATTTTGGGAACTTTATGAAACCAATTTCATCGTAGTGTATTAAAATTGTGTTGATTACAATTATTGAAGGTGTGTCAGAAGTCCGAAATTCCAAAAAATTATACCGACAAAACATGGGTCTCTCAAAAAATATTCGGACGGAGGTGTGTCGCTTGACACACCTCCCTAACACATGGGTCCGCCCCAGCATAATAACCATGTATTCTATTTTGTTGATGAGCAATGTTGCGACTAAATAGGTCCAGATCAGGTCAGTAACCCTATCCCCAGTAACCGTGCGTAACCCCTTCCTCCATCCTCCACGTGTCTGCATCTGAGCCGTTCCCTTTTATTTAAATGAAACACGGAGGGGCAGTAGGGTAATTTGCATCCATCCCTCATTTAATGCTGACGACCTGACGCCTACTTTTGACCGAACGTGGACCCCACTCCCCGTCCCCCACATGTTTCCCTTTGTCACTCTTTTATCTATTATTATAAAAAAATTGAATTATTTCTTCTCTCCCATCTACAACTAAAAGAGAAAATAAGTACATGCTCTCTGCACACTAACTCTATCTCTAAAACAAATATGAATTCAACAATCTCAGCTCTCTCTACTCCAACTCCAACTCAAATTGAATGATGATTTTTTCATTTAATAATTCTCTGCCAAGAAGGATAATTACAAGTATGAATATGACTATACTTTCTACTATCATGGTAAAACATGACCAATATGCTAAAGAAAATTACAAATCTAATTACCATACAATACCATATGGTATAAATGCTAAAATAAAATTAGAAATCTAACTACCATACAATACCACATGGTATAACTTGGTAAAACATGTTACAAAAAATTATAAATCTAACTATCATACAATACCACCATAGTAGAACATGGTAAATCGAATTACTATAAAATAATCATAATTATCATACAATGCCACATGGTAAGAGAACGTAAAACCATTTAAAACCAAATATAAATATAATTACCATCACCTACGACCAT